AAAGTGCAATCCAGGTATCATGATGCACGCCTGTAATCCATAAATTTCACTATGAGATTCATAGCGATCATTGGACTAGTAAGGACTACATAAGACTATCTCAAAAATAAATTAAATGGAAGCTAGAGAGATGGATCAGTAGATAAGAGTGTGTACTATTCTTGAAGAAGATGCAAGTTCAATTATCAGTACTCACAATGAGTGTTACTCAACCATATAAAACCCACTTCCAGAATCAACCAATGTCTCTGACTTCCAAGGCTACTTACAGTCATGTGCAAATTCCCACACATAGACACACACTTACATGCACACAATTAAAAATAAAATAAAACTTAGAAAATACAGTAAATAAGTAAACATAGACTTGTGACAGTATTTGTCAAAATGTAGAAAATTCTTAAGGTGAATCTGTGTTTCAAAAGATAGATACATTATCTATAGCATAAACACAAACTAAGATGCAAGTGTGAGACTGAGTAGTTAAAAGTATAATTTAAATATGATCTGATACTTGTCTGACAAATTAAAAGAAGAGACTGTGTTTTGTAGCATTAGGATAAACATGCTTCCCCTCTACCTTTAAAATAATTCATGAACTAGAGACATGGCTTATTTGTAAAAGGAGGAACCAAGTTCAAATCCCAGAACACAGCTTTTTAAATGAACGAAAATCTAGTAGATTTTTGTAATACCAGATCTTGGGTGATGGATCCCTGAAATTTGCTGGCCAGTGAGATTCTTTAAAAAAATGTGGACAGCCAGTCCCTAAGCTACAACATCCAAGGTTGTCCTCTGATCTCTGCATACACAAGTGAACACAGAAACACACACAACCACACACAGAAAATAAAATAGATCTTTTGCTTTTAAAGTTTATTTAAATGTTATTTAAATAAGGATTTCATTAGTTAAGTTATATTGACATATACATAATTAAAAGCATAAAACAAATATATTAATGGACTGCTGTATATTTGTAGAGATTTTAGTTATTATTGTGTATATATGATGTGTGTGTATGGATGTGTGTTCATACCATGGTGTGCATATGGAGGTTAGAAGACATCTTTCAGAAATTTATTCTTGCCTTGCCCTTTGTTGAGACAAGATCTCTCGTGTATCTGCTGTGCTGTATATGCCAAGATAGCTGGTTTTCTCAGTTCCAGGTGATTCTCCTGCCTCTAGCTCCCATCGTGCCATAGGAGTGCTGAGACAACAGATGTGTGCCACAACAAAAAGTAATTTTGCCATTAAGACATGTCATTGGCAGTATTTTGTGACTTTTTTTTGCTAGAAATACACTCCTATTGTTTGTCAGATATACTTACTTGAGTAAAGGCTTCAAAAAAATGTCAGGTAAAGATGAATAAAATAGTGCTTCATGACATATTTAATAAAATATCATTAAATGAATATCTGAATGAATTTGATTATTCATATGCAGAAATCCTTAAGAATTTAATAATTACACACAGTGAATATTTAATTCTGCCTATCTTTGATGATACATTTTTAACTAATCCTATAGTGCCTGTCAGGAAGAAGCATGAATTCATACACCTTGATTTATGATATTATTTTACTCTGAGTATGGATTTAACCTTCTGAGAATTAATTGGGATCTTGAGATTGAATTTTTTGGATGAATGTGGAGTATAGTTTACTAGTAGAAAGCTTCCCTAGCAGTGAATAGAAGAATTGATCTCCCTTAAATAAATTTTTTAAAACGTAATTAAATGTCTTAAACTAAAGCAAATAAGCATGAAGAACTTATTCTGAATACTAAATAATAATACTGCTCCAAATAGGATTCATAATTATTATGTCTAAAGTTATTAACAAGAAAGTGCTAATTTTTTGTAAGATTTAAAGCAATTACTACATACAAAATCCTCACTGAACTTCAAATCAGCAGTATCCTTTCTGTGAACTGTTAACTAAAAAGACAGCCATACTTTAATGATAAAGAAAGGAAGTTAAAGCAAGTTTATTATTTTAATTTTATTTTATGTCTATGAGTGTATTGTGTGCATGTGTATAAGTGCACCCATGTCATGCAATGCCCTCAGATGTCGGGGTGACAGATCCCTGGAATTGGAGGTACAGACAGTTATCTGCCACGTGGTGGCTGGGATTCAAACTCGGGTCCTCTAGAAGACCAGCAAGTGTTCTTAACAACTCAGCCATCTCTCCAGCACCAAGGAAGGAAGTTAAAGGTTCCATAAAAAGTTGAAGATCACTGGACTTGGCCATAACAAAAATCATCCATGGCCTTACATGCAAAGAAGGCAGATAGGAATGAAAGTCCACATGTGTTTTGATTCATTTTACTTAACCATGTGACTTTGGAAGAATGATTTCACTATGTACCTTTATTTCCTCATTTTTTATATTCTTTATAGATACCTTTCATAGCTCTCATTAGCATTAAGCCATTTGGTCTATATCAAAAACATTTTCAATATATCTAATATACATATTCAATAAATATTACTTGTGATTTTCTCAGGCTTAGATTGAAATGTTTGTTTTGATTTTAACAAAGACAATAAAGTCAGATTACTTGTGACAACCTGGTTTAGGAATACCTTCTTCTTTCCTACAAACTTTCATATTTTACAATGTGATTTTCTGTTCAGTGTTTCACTATGTAGTATAGCAGGGCATGTGGTCCTGATGAGCTTGTGTGATTCCCGTCTGGTAACCCTAACCTGACCTCATCCAAATCCACCACCTTAAATGAACATTTTTAAAGCCTTGAAAGCCAAAAAGAGAAAATTACCTCACTCAAAATAATGTCTTTTGTCTGGTTTTGTTTGAGGATCTTTTCCTTTGGGAATGTTATGAATTACAAATAATGTTTTACCCATCACTTCTACTTTATGAAAAATTTGCTGGTTTATGGAGAAGATACTTGCATTTAAAATGGAAATATAAATAAAACAACCCAAGTAGAAGAGAGTTATTCATTAACAAAATAGTTGAATTTCTACTAGTATATTCATTCTTTCACCCAAAGATAGTCTTGGATTTTATTACTCTGTCCTGTTTCATTCTCTCTGCAATAATTCTGTAAAATTAAAGCAAGAGAGAAACTATGCTATCTGAAAGATTTGCTATTGAGCAGTGGATTTTTTTTTCTTTTAGAGTACATTAGCAGTGTTTGAAACAAAACAGTGCTTTCATCATGGATGCTAATGAAGATGAGAAACCAAGGTCTAGGAGTCAATATCGTCACCTTTTTCATACTTTGATGATGTTAAGCATGACCATGTTGTTTCTTCCCATCATGGGAACTTCCAAACAAAATATTCCACGACTCAAGCTAACCTACAAAGGTGAGTATGTAAATATTTTTCATTGTCCACTATGATATCTGAATGTCTGTTTTGATTATTGTATTTATATATATGGACTTCTTTGAAGTTTGCATCAATTAAGGCAATATTAATTAGGAAACAAATACATTTATTTAATTTTGTGAATGAAAGGATGCCTAAAATACTCAAGTACACTTCTCAGTTGATATTTATAATAAATAATTTAGCCTACCAGTTGTAATAAGTTTTGTACTAAAACAAATCTCTAAAACTAGAAAAAAAATTAACTAATTCTAAATAACTGCTTAATTACAGTTACTATCCTGTTTGAGTGTGTTTTTAAACAGTAAGATATTAACACTTTCAAAATTTTTTAAACCCTAGAATATCTTAGATATCTGCCAATTATATACAGGTTTTAAAATGGGAATCCAATCAATGTGAAAAGCTTAATTAAAGTACAAAGAAATGATTAAAATGAAATCTAATTTAACTGTTATTTTATATTTTTGTTTATTCTATTTTTATATCTTATGTGTGTGAGTCTTTTTGCCTGCATGTAGAGAAGTGTACCACATGGGTGTCCCACAGAGGCCAGATGTGTTGGATCCCCTGGAACTGAATTTAGGGAGAGTTGTTAAGTGCCATGTTGGTGCTTGAAACTAAACTGGGTCTTCTGCAAAAGCAGCTAAAGCTCTGAACCACAGAGCCTTCATTCAGCCACTAAGATAACTATTTATAAGTATTTTAGTTACTATGAAAGAACAGTGTGTAAGCATAATATTATAGTTGCTCATTATGTGGGTGCATGTGTCTGTGTATAGCTTATTCCCAAATTCAATGTTCAAATATCTTCTTCCTTTTTTCTCCAATTTTCTATGATTTACAGTAGAGTACTTACCACAAGTTTTAAAAGATATGCAGCGAGCATCAGACTCCTTTATTCTAAACTTCTACTAAACTTAGATAGGTAATTTCCTTTGATCTTTAAGATGATGTTTTTTCAGACAAAGTAATATCAATAATGAAAATTAATTGGATGTCTAAAGGAAGAGAGAATAATATTCAGATAGTCTAATCATTGTGTGTTCAATATGCTGGATTGGGACTGGGATGTAGACCAGTGGTAGATGTAGAGTGCTAGCTTAGCATGTGCAGGACCCTAGGTTAAACTCCCAACATGGAAAAACAAAATGGAGAAAGATGAAGACAAAAGATAACGTTATTACTTGGAATTTATGTTTGTGTGCTAGAGTTGAGGGATTTCTATTTGTTTCGCTTTATATACTTCTATGTATAAATTAATTTAAATTGGAGTATATTGGAAATCTAGGATCAGTTCCTTAATTATAAATGGTAGATAACATTATCAAGTATAATTTATTAGTAAATTATTTCAACAACAATTAAAATCTAGATTTGAGAACTATCCATTTATTTATTAACCATAGATTTTCTTTAATTTTGTATCTGCCCCCTAATCTCTCTGTGTTTCAAGTAAGGTGTAGTTTGCACATCAAAATCAAAGTCAAAGCTCTTAACCATCCCTGTCCAAGTGTACCTTCTGACATTAAAAAGTGCATAACTTGCAAACTCCAAAATGCCATCATTTTTGGATACGGAGCAACAGGCAGCAAGATAGAAGAGAATCCACCTGACAGTGAGCCATAGGAAGGCTTGGTACAGGCAGTTTGGGAGCTGAGCTAAGATACTGAATGTCAAAGATGCTGAGATCTGCAGGAGCTTTGATCATTTAGAATGAAAAGGCCCTCCTTGGGAACTCAGTTAACATACTGCAAAGGTCACCATTTGAGAATTGGTTACTCCTGCCTACAAATCTAGCTAAGGCAGGAAGATGGTGATTTTTGGACAACCTGTTGTATATAGCAAGAATGTGCCTCAAAAAAGCAAAAACAAAGGTAAAAGATTTGGACTATTGTATCCCTAAGAGAAAAAGACATAGAAACCTGCCTTAAAACTTCAAAATTGGCCTCAAAAGAGTCTTGCTCATCTGCTAGTAAAGACAATAATTTCAGGAACAAGATTCATCAATTATTAAATATGATACCACTATCATCACAACCAGATTCCCAACTATTTAAATCTACAATATCCACATAATAAACAGTTACTACACACACACAAACACACACACACACACACACAAACAAACAAAAAAACCAAATTAAAAAACAGCAGAATTAATGATAACAAGGAAAGCAAACATGTGGAAGCCCACTTGAGATGGTACAGTTACTTACACAAGCAAATAAGGACTATAGACAATTGTGTGCTCAAAAATGAAGGAAATGTCAAAAGATAAACAGAACGTCATGAGAGAAATGAAAGTATGAGGGAAAAGAGCTAAACTGAAATTCAAAGTATTAACAATGTAACAGAACTTGAAATTTTACTGCACATGTTATGGATTGGATGCAGTAGTACAAGATTCAATAGACTTAAATATGAATAGCTTATCTAATATAAAGAAACCATATGAATTTTGTTTAGTGGCTTTGATTTTGAGACAGTCCTTCTATGTGTCCAATATCCTAGACCAATCTAGAACTCACATTCTTCCTGCTTTCCCCTCCTAAATTCTGGGATTACAAGGATGTACTGTCACACCCAATTTCCTACAGATCAATTTATAATACAGCCTATTAAATTAAAGCTAGATCTACGAAACTCATTTTGTTGTGATGATGCAGAGGGTATTTTTATTTTTGCTTTTTCCATTTTAGAGACAAAGTATTTCTCTATTGCTCAGGTTAACTTCATACTCATAATCTTTCTGAGCGCTGAGGTTCCAGATGTGCATCACCATACCTGCTGTGCTGTGTGTGATAACCACTCTTATTCTTTTGATTCTTTTAAAAATTATGTTGCAACAGTATCTTTAGGACTCTTATGGGTATGGGAAGGGTGGTTCAGTGGTTAAGAGCTCTGTAATTGTAAGAAATGGAATTTGTAGCCCAGCTTCCACAGACACAAATTTAGACTCCTGGAAAACATCTATAATTCCAATTCTGAGGGAGATAGAGACAAGAAGATTGCCTAGGGATTACTGGTTTCTAACCTAGCAGAGATGAAATCAGGTTCAGGGAGAGACCTTGCTTCACAGGAATAGGCAGAGAGATATGGAACAGGATACCTTATGCTCCCTCTTCTGGCCTCCAAGTGTACACAAAGGCACACAAACAAATGCTCATGCACAGTCACAAATGCTCATTAATTAACACACACACACATACACAAACACACACACAGAAATGGAAAAAGAATGATTCTTAGAATTGGTATTGTTTAATAAAGGCAATCTTTCCTCAAAGCCACATTTTAAGTCTTTGTTATAGTAGTGCCCTGTTCAGCTAACCAAGCTATAATTTGGATATCTATTGATGTATAACAGTATGTCACAACAAAACTCAATACTTAAAACAAAAAAATCCTAGTTTCAATAGGTCAAGAGTCTGGGAGGGCTCAACTGGGCAGTTCTGGCTCGGAGTCTCTACTGACAAATGAAATGAAATCACCTGTGAGAAAGCCAAGTAAGCAGCAGAAAGTTCACAATGTGGCACTTAGATAAGAGTACAAAGTGAACAAATCAAAGTCATCTGACATGAAAAATCCTAATTTGGATTTTAAAAATAATTGGTTTTTAAAAGCTCAACAACGATATAATTTGTTTTCCATTAGTCATGACTCCTTACATGTACAGTATGCAGACAGTAACAGTAGCCTTAGCGCTTGGAATGGCTGCAAGAATATTTTGAAGAATTTTTTAAAGGTCAAATGAATTACAATAACTATTTTATTGGATGAATGATCTTAATACAGACATCTTTGGATCTTTCAATGAAAGGAGCTCGTTTGGTTCTGTATGCACGCAAAACAATTTCCTTCAGTTCCTGTTTTGAATTCTTACATTTGTACTCATCTTGCATCTCTTTTCTGGGTAGTGTGATGTTACAAAGGTAGGATTTTTTGCACATTCAGATTCCCTTCTATATAAGAATTACATATATTTTTCCCTACAAACTGGGCTTCTCATCTTAATTTCTACAGTTGACACTGACATTATAAAAATACCTTTCTTGCTTTATGGTTTTTTATTCAGGTTCTCATGCAGCCTTGAACTCACTCTAGACAAGGGTTCTACCACTGAGCTACACCCTTGTCCTACAAAAATAACATTTAAGAAATAATACACTTCAATTTATTATGTCACTTTCTGTCTTACAATTATTACTAAGGATTTTGTATATGTGTTAAGTATTATTATTTATATACAGAATTTGTATGGAAATACATCTGTATAACATTGTCCCCATGATGATATTAAACAAAAAAAATCCAGAAAAGAAAATAATTACAAGTCATTAGCAAGAAAAGGAAAAATAACATATTGGCAGTTATCATATATTCAACAATTGTGTAATATATGCTTAGGGAGCAGTGTGTTAGGCAATTTTCTAGGTCAGAGAAAAAAATCACTGTTCACATTAAAGACCAGGACATGTCATTTCAAATAAGGATAAGTGCTAGGAAGACTCTGAAGAGCATAAGTACTCAAACATCATCATACTTGTGCTCGTGTCACAAATGTCTGGAAAGCATTGCTTTAAGGGACATTTAAATGATAAGGTGAGGAGGATGTGATTTGTCCTGGATGATCTGTCCAGGAACAAGATGCTCTCAAAGGGCAGAAGAGCCTGCTTATGTTTGGTGAGTTCAGGCCAGTGTTCCCATCACCTAATTATACCATTATGAGAAATACAAACTATTAAGGGTCAAATATCAAGACAAAAAAGTATGTCAAATTTTGCTATTTCTTCTTTGTCCTGTTTTACATTTTTATTTGTTGCTTTTTAGTAAAGCCTAAATTTATTTAATGGGATGGTTCTTTGCTTATAAATTTCAAGGGCATGATTAGATAAATTTAATTTTTCTATACTTATAAATTAATTAATTTAGTTATGAAATATATCATGGGTCTTATCTGGATATTTTCTGGC